AGTGGTGGGAAGAGAGATTAATTGCAGATTATTTTGAGCTCTGGGCTTTTTCCTGTCAGATGATGGCTCTGTTATCCTCTAAGTTATATGAACCGTAAAATTCCTTTTTGGTAACTTAATGCTATTTGGTGTTGGATTCATTTGCCATTAGAGAGTCCCAATTAAGCAGGAATTGAGATGGGTTTCATCTACAATTTTGTGAGTTATTATTTAGTGTCCTTTTCATTTCTCAGTGCCAGAAAGAGGAGCCTGGGCCACTCCTATAGTTCTATATGGGATGGGTTGACTTTCAAATGATCCATTGTGCTAGAGGTTATGGTCCAGTGGCTTTGCACACCTCTATTTCCTCCTATGATCCAGGTGAAGTGTGTACTTGGATTTTATCTCTGAGCAGTGGTGGAACTTTTTTTTTGGATGCACAGGAAAGTAGCAGTCATGCCTCCTCTTAGGTGAGGGGTATTTCAGTGGCCGTAGACATTAATATGAGCCTATCATTATATGACCTGAAGAGATCTGGTAAGATTTATTTTCTGTATTTTTAAAAAAATATATTTTTATTGATTTCAGAGAGGAAGGGAGAGGGATAGAGAGACAGAAACATCAGTGATGAGAGAGAATCATTGATTGGCTGCCTCCTGCACACCACCTATTGGGGATTGAGCCCACAACCCCAGACATGTGCCCTTGATCGGAATCAAACCCGGGACCCTTCAGTCTGGAGGCCAACGCTCTATCCACTGAGCCAAACCGGCTAGGGCTATTTTCTGTATTAATGATGACTCTAAGAACTCAAAATGTTAGCAGAGCTTGGGAAGTTTTAGAGAGGGATGGAAGAGAAGCGTTTTAGTCTGGGTAACCTCCCAAAATAGAGTCAAAGACTTCTAGGTAATTTATTTGAAAAGTGACCCAAAGAGGCAGTGGAACTAGAGAGAAAGAAACAGAGGAGGAAAAGCCATTGCAAAAGTACATTATGGTATTGGTCACTACTATGGGTTGATTGGAACTCAATTTGCCATAATCTTGAGAAGCTGTATATAATGTGTCTCAAAATTGACTGCCCAAAGAAAGGGGAAAAGCATCCATTGACATCCAGTCCACATTTATCTGAGGCTAACTTAACTTTCAGTTTCAGCTGGGTGGACGTGGCTGTCATAGCAGCAACTAGTGTAAAAGTGGGTCCAAAGGATGGGAAGCAGGGCCAAGAGGTTTCTGACATAAAGAGAAAAATGTGGATTAATCTTAGATAATGGGGGCTAAAATAAATAGTTTAATTGGGTCTTAGTTAATTAAAGATAATAGATTCAATTATATAGACTTTAAAAACATAAATGATAACCATTTGTAAAACTAAAATAATATGTACACCTCCAAGATCACTGGAAAAGATAAGAAAAACATGCAGTTCCTAGGACAAGAGTTAGAAAATAGGCAATGAAAGCAAAAACAGACAAGTGTGAGTCCATCAACCTAAAAAAGTTCTGCATAGCAAAGGAAACAATAGTTATATAAAACAATGATGAACAGGTACATGAAAAGGTATTCAACATCACTAGTCATCAGGTAAATGCAAATCAAAACCACCATGGGCTATCAGCTCACACCTATTAGAATGGTTATTATCAAAAAGAGAAGATAGAAAATGTTTGTGAGGATGTGGAGAAAAGGGATCCATTGTATACTGGTAGGGGAAGTATAAAATGGTGCAACAACTATGGAAAACAATATGGAGGGTCCTCAAAAAAATTAAAAATAGAACTACCATTATGACCCACAACCCCACCTCTGTGTATATATGTATACTAGAGACCCGGTGCATGAACTTCATGCA